TAGCTCTCACTAGGCACGCTACCTTGGCTGTTAACTGATTTTACTGTTGAAATAGTGGCAGGCTAGGACTAAAGTGGACTTGGCTGGTTTCTGCTTGTGTCTAGAAAGTGCTTTAGGCCTATATGACTTTTCGACGACCACTGCTCTGGGCTACATGTAACAACACGAACGGCAGTAGATCAAGCCTTCTAGGCTAGATAGGATAGCGTAATGTCACAACATCCAATTTGATAGCCCCGTACATACATACATTGGTCCTATACATATTTAGCCGTACACTGTAAACCTTTTTACAACTTTCAAAGTCCTAGCACTTTCTAGACACAAGTAGAAACCAGCCAAGTCCACTTTAGTCCTAGCCTGCCACTATTTCAACAGTATAGTATAGCTAGTCGACAACAAAACTATGTCAATAGCTTAAATCAAGTTAAATATGATACAAGTGACATGGCCTCATCGTCTAGTTTGTCATACTGTGAGTGTGTTAATGACAAAAAAATAGGCTAACGTTACTTACTTGGTGATTCCACGAGATAGTGGTAACGTTAGATGTCTGAATTGTCCATTTTTGGCCACTGCGTGGGGTCATTAATCCAGTTTTCGACCAGTTCAAAGGGACACCTCTCTAACCCCGTATCCAGTAGCTTCTTTAAATACCGCTCACGGTCCTCGGCCGGCATAGAGAGTGTGTATGTTTGTGCCATTTAAGAAACTTTGCAGCTCTACAGCGAGTTCTGTTGTCAGGGGAATCCGTTTGTTTTCCCCCAAAAAGAGGCGTTACCCTTCGATGACGCAAAAGTAGCGTTGGTCTATACGTCGACTGCCTGTTGCTATGGTTACTCACAGCTGATGTTGCCAGCGCATTTGTTTATTAATTTTGAGCGGTAAACAGTCAGTTTCACCAGAACTCCTTTACTAGGTGTCCTCTAGCACTTTTTAATGGACACCCTGCAGCCAATCAGAATCAAGTATTCACCCACACCATGGTATAAACCTGAATTAATATTAAAGATTTCAATATTGACTCTTTTACACAGAAATCTAATGAAAAAGTGACTGGATTAAACATAATGCATTCCACTATTTCAATAGCATAAGCACACTATATACAAAGCATGCAAAACCCAGTATCACACTGGGACTGTACATACCTGGTTTCCAAACTGGTTGCAGGGAAAGCCCATGATGCGTAAACCTTTCTCAGTGTACGTGGCGTGCATCGCCGCAAACTGAGTGTAGTTTATAGGAGTCTTTTTTCACTTGGAGGCAACGTTAGTGATGATACACACGTAACCCCTGAAAACAGACAAACACACTGTGACCCAGTTTCCAACGCAAGATTACGCTCAGCATAAGACTAAAAATTAGTATTTGTTTTTATTTTTAAATTTATTTGGATGGGACCATGCATATTGATGAACGTACAATATAAATTGACGTAAATACGACAGATTTAGCACAATGCTAATATCCATCCGTGGTCCCAAACATGAAAAAACAAACAAAAACAAACAGACATATAGAGCTAAAAAGAGTTAAAAGTGCGTATGCTTAAATAAAGTACTTGTTAAAAGTGTGTTTTATTATTTGACATGCATCACATTCTCAACTGCAGAGTTGGATTGATTAACACTTTGCACAGGATTCATACAGATACTGTAAAATGAGATTCCCGGATTAGTCAGGACTTTTTATATCTTTATACATTACATCTTTTATATCTTATATTTTTATTTTTGAAGGATTTTTTTTTTAAAACTCAAATTACAGAAATAAGGTATCCAAAATACAACTTGCAACATATTTAACTATATATATATATATATATATTAAATACAAAGTTTATAATGGCTATTATTGTTCAATAAATTATAATATTATAATGCACATTATAATATAAAATATAATGCATTCATATCCAGAAACGGTCCGATGGGGGTTTATCAGACGGGCTGCAGTGTTAACTTTCAGGAAAACATCGTTTTTTTGTTTTGTCGAAAAAATGAAACTCTAATTTCATACATATTGTATTTAAATAAGTAAAGCACTTTTCCAGGACCTCTTCATAAATATGGCTGTTTTTAAGGGTTTTCCAGGATTTAAATGTCAAAAAATCAAATTCAAGCACTTTAAGCACCTTGTATGCATTAGGGCTTTATTCAAATCACTCACCCTAAAAATAAAAATAAACGTGACCATTAGTAATAAAGCAAACCAAATGAGTTGTGTTCACCTGTATTTCTCCAGAGACACTTCCTCTCCATCGATGTCTTTAGCTGAGAAATGGTATATGGATTTGTCCAACTGCCCGTCATTGGCTTGGGCACACTGCAATAAACAGAGAGAGGTCAAAGGTCACGGGCCGTGGGAAACGTCTATGAACGCCTTCAGACAGATACTGACACAATCATGTGCTATAATGCAATAGCTTTTCTTATGAAACGCCCCCTGATAGTGTTGTGTGAGATTATTATTTCGCAATAGTGCAATTATGCAATAACTCATCTTATGAAACGCCCTCTGATAGTGTTGAGTGAGATTTATCACACACACACACACACACACACACACAACAAGAAACTACACTACCAGTCAAAAGTTTGCGATCGGTAAGATTTTTTATGTTTTTAAAAGAAGTCTCTTCTGCTCACCATGGCTGGATTTATTTGATTAAAAACGATTCTATGTGAATATATATTCAAATGTAATATTAATATATTGAAAAAGAAAACAGTTATTTAAAAATTATCATAATATTTAACAATATTACCGTTTTTTTTGTTGTGTTTGTTGTATTTTTAATCAAATAAACGCAGCCTTGGTGAACAGAGACTTCTTTCAAAGACATTAAAAATGTTACCGTTCCCAAACTTTTGACTGGTAGTGTATATATATTAGTGTTTTAGTAAAAGGTTTGGCATAAAAATTAGATTCTGACAATATCTAGAGCAGATTTTCCACCTGTGTGAGTGTGTAGAGAAAACACAGCGGTCTCAGGGGATTCAGCGAGCGCTCGTAAACATCTCTCAGGTGGAGATAGACGAAGCTAAACACATTTAAGAGTAATCCATTACACTCCCATTCAAGAGACGATCTGCCTTTATATGACAGTCCAGAGGGCATGTTTGTGTGTGTAAGAGTAGCAATTATGCATGAAAAAAATGTTGTGTGGGTTTATTTATTAGTATGAAGCTTTTTGTGACAATCATATTTTCAGGATTGAACTTATGATGTGATGGTGTGTGGTTGAATCTGTTTTTGAATACATACAGTGCCGGTCAAAAGTTTGGAAACATTAATATTTTTAATGTTTCGAAAGAAGTCTCTTATGTTCATCAAGCCTGCATTTCTTGATCAAAAATACAATAGAAAAAAAAAACTAATATTGTGAAATATTATTGCAATTTAAAATAATAGTTTTATATTTTAATATATTTTAAAAAGAAATGTATTGCTGTGATTAAAGCTGAATTTTCAGCATCATATTATAAGGATTCTTATTATTATTTAAATTAGAAATCTTTTAAAAACAAATTTAAATAATTAAATTTGTATTAATTTCTTTTAAAAAAAATGAAATGCTGTGCTTTAAAAAAAAAACGTATTATTCAAATTCTTCATGTGTTAAGAGAACTCAAAAACTTTGATTTTACTACATATTAGGGAGTGGGAAACGGTGAGATTGAGCCTAAGGAGGCTTTATAATAAGCATGTTGAATGATTTTTATGCTGTAGGCTATACTTGTATAGTAAGATACTAAATATTTCAGATTAAATTAATGCACCCGCTACAATTAAACATACACCAGTTCTTTAGATGTGACTGATGAATTTATGAAACATGCAATGAGGCTTAATAAAACCAATTCAATATAATTATTAATAAATACTCTTGATGATAATAATTATATAATTGATGATTAACAAAAATGATTAACATTATCACCAAACAGCATAAAATAATAAAAGCTAATTATCACCACGTGATTAAATGCAGAATTCTGCAACGCTAAACCCAAACCAGGCCTAAAACCTGCGTTTGCCACACACTGGACTTTAATGAGACGTTTCGTAAAAAAATATACACTAGGAGAACCGATATGATTTCATTTTAAATCATAAATCATAAACAAACCCCAGAGACCCTGCTGACAGACATCATTAAAGCTAACGGGCTAATGTTACTCCACCGGAGTGAATTAGCGGAGACACGCAGGTGCGCACGAATAAACACACCGGACTATGACCTTTTTACAACGACTACATAAACTAGTTTTCAAAAACACACATAAGCGTCTCAAACAGAGTAAAACAGCAGGTAAAGAGAGAGTATAATGTCTTACCATGGCTCTTGTCAAGCTCTTGCTGCCCAGTGCGCCGATCAACAGCGCTCTCTGAAATAACCACATACTGGCGCTGATACACGAGACTCCGCCCAGTTACTGGAAGGACACGCCTCTTCTGTCGGTTTCAGCCAATCAGAGACGGTGCTTATGCCACTGATTTAAAGTCATACGATCAATACGGTTTAATTTAATCATTGTTACATATTATTATTTACGTTGGAATTGCAATTAAACAAATACAAAACAAATATGTTGTAATACGTTTTAAAAATATATTTAAAACAATGATTGTAACATATCTTGATCTTATCTCTGTACAGCAGTTAGTCATGCTATTCCGGTCGGTCTTGATTTATTTTTTTATTTTATAGATTTTTGTAGAAAACAATTTTATAGAAAATTGTCTTTGAACTTACGTTTTTGCCGTAGTTTTTCTTTTTTAATCTCCTATATATAATTACACTATGACAGTTGGAACAGCTGCAATAGTGTGCATTACAGAAAAGAAGAAGGAAAGAGAGAGAGAGAGAGAAAAACCCAGGGCAGGGTTACTTTTCAGGTTTAGTACAATTTTGTGCTGGCAATAAATGAGACACCATCCAGGGGTCCTTCGCCTCCTCCATAAACGGTAAACAGACGCAGGTTTCATCACGTGACTAATTAAAGGCACGCGCGCGTGGTTTGAAAGCGGAGTGTCTTGGGATTGTTTGATCAGGAACACACGCGCTAATGGACGATGACGAGGAGGCTTATCGATTATGGAAAATTCGTAAGACCATAATGCAGGTGTGAATGTAGACTGAGCTTCGTCTGTTTACTGTTTATAACTCTTTTAGTAGTTGTTTACATTAAATACGCCATCAACAGATAAGTAGTGGCATGTACACAGAGTGATATAGTAAATATAAGGTGAATTCAGGGTGATTGGGATACTTTAATATGACTTCAACCTGAATTTTTCTAAGGTAAAATATCATATAGACTAAAATAATTATTCAGTTTAATGGTAAGACATTTAGAAATGAAACGGAATGAGATTCAGTACCAGACATTGACTATAGTAAGAAAACTAACATACAAAAAGGTAAATGCTTAAAATGTAATGTAAGAGAATATTTATAGTATAGAGGGAAAACCGTAAAAATAAATATTAGAAATATATAAATAAATTATTTTCTTTTAAAGTCCCCCTGTAGTCAATTTTATCCCTTAAAACTCATCTTTAATCATGATATATTTAAACGTTTTTTTCCCTTAAAAAAAATTCTTCATGCCTTAAAAATATCTTGCATATAACTCGACACCCTTGCCTCATTTAGTATGCGTGGTTCTATGAATATGCAAATGAGCCCCGCCTCCACTCACTCACTCAGCTCAGAGATCCACTGGTTGATGATCACACGTTGATCTGATTGGTTACAAGGTCGTTTGTGACGTCAGAAACACCAGCGATTTCAAACCGTGTTTTTGAGACTGTCTTTGGTTAAAATACTCAGCAATGCTGTCGACTTATGAATTTACACATGGTTTGTCTTAAAGCGTATTAAAAACAACACATAGACCCAAACAACATTAAAAGCTGGATTTTCACCACAGTGGGACTTTGAATGGATAATTAATCATGGTAAAATATAAAAAAAATGCTAAATTGACCTAAAGACCCGAGTACTATAGTGAATAGAAGAAGAAATGTAATATTGTAACAATGAAAACTATATATTTGCCAAACAATATTTTATACATGAAATATAAAGCTGCCTTTTAAACTTTACGGGTACATAAGCTGCATTGGTAACACTTTACAAGGTTCATTAGTTAACATGAACAACACTTCTACAACATTTATTAATCTCAGATAATATTAATTTCAACATTTACCAATACGTTAATAAAATCAAAGGTTGTATTTGTTATTAGTTGGTTACTGTGAACTAACATTAACAAAGATGAATAAATACAGTGTATCGCTCATGCTTAGTTCATACATCAACTAATGTTAACTAATGACCCCTTGCCTCATTTAGTATGCGCGGCTCTATGAATATGTAAGTGAGCCCCGCCTCCACTCACTCCCTCAGCTCAGAGATCCACTGGTTGACGATCACACGTTGATCTGATTGGTTACAAGGTCGTTTGTGACGTCAGAAACACCAGCGATTTCAAACCGTGTTTTTGAGACTGTCTTTGGTTCACTGCAGTTTTAAGCAGAAAATACTCAGCAATGCTGTCGACTTATGAACTTACACATGGTTTGTCTTAAAGCGTATTAAAAACACCACATAGACACATAAACAACATTAAAAGCTGGTTTTTCACCACAAATGGGGACTTTGAATAAATAAATGATTATGGTAAAATATTAAAAATGCTAAATCGACCTAAATGCATAACAGTAGAGTACTATAGTGAATAGAAGAAATGTAATATTGTAACAATGGAAACTATATTTTCCAAACAATATTTTATACATGAAAATATAAAGCTGCCTTTTAAACTTAAAGTTGCATTGGTAACACTTTACAATAAGGTTCATTGGTTAACAACCTTAGTTAACATGAACAACACTTCTACAACATTTATTAATCTCCGTTAATATTGATTTCAACATTTACCGATACGTTAATACAATCAAAGGTTGTATTTGTTATTAGTTGGTTACTGTGAACTAACATGAACTAACAATGAACAGCTGTATTTGTATTAACTAACATTGACAAAGATTAACAAATACAGTGTATCGCTCATGGTTAGTTCATCATACATCAACTAATGTTAACTAATGAAACTTATAGTAAAGTGTTACCAATGCATTTCTATCGCAGAACACGTGGAAACGTCCCTCCTCTTGTGTTGCAGCTCTGCCATGATCGGGGGTTTCTGGTGACCCAGGATGAGCTGGACCAGACCTTGGACGAGTTCAAGGCTCAGTTCGGGGACCGTCCCAGCGAGGGTCGACCCAGACGGACCGATCTCACGGTTCTGGTCGCTCACAACGACGATCCCACCGACCAGATGTTTGTTTTCTTCCCAGGTGAGATCAGGGCCCGTATTTATCAAGCCTCCGAGAACGACTGCTAAGAATCAGAGGTGTCCAAAGTATTCACATTCATTACTATAGATACTAGGGTTTAAAAAGACTTCTGTAGAAGTTGAAGTATTTTACTCAAGTAAAAGTGTAAGACCCCGTTCACACTGCTAGTCTTAATGCTCAGATCAGATTTTTTGTTTGGCTATTCACATTACCTTTTAAAATGTGGCCTATATCAGATTCCAGTGTGAACTCTGTGGGGTTTCGAACTGACCCGCATGCGCAAAAGAACAATAACAATGACATCAGACGCAGCACGCTGTTGCTCTAAAGTTGGGGAGTTTACGGAGGAAGTCAGCATTTTCACTTTTTGTTCTTTTTTTCACTTTATTTTGCTTTTTTCCACCTAGACAGAGTCCATCACAATTACAGATACCATTGGGATATCACATATTTGTAATCAATTCCGTCTTTCTTGACATAGAGAGAACCATACAACAAAGACAGAATAAGATTCATTCTAAGTTATGCAGTAATAAAAAGGAAATATTCAATTATGGATCTGTCATATGAAACAAATTACGTCCAAACAGAATTCAGCGTAAGAGAAACAATGACAGGGATTCAAACAATGAACAAAAACAACAAGATAAAAAAAATAAAAAAAAGGAAAAATAATATATATATATAATAAAATTAATAAGAAGCCATATAACGCTTGGTCATCCAAAAACATATTCAGGTTAATATCACGTGTAAGAAGATTCTTTACTGCCAGAGGGGATATAGACAGGCGTTTGAAACCATTTCACTTTCCTACACAATCTAGGAAAGGACCCCAAATCTTAGAGAAGTTGTCAGAAGATCCCTTCATTGTATGCCTGATTTCTTCTAGTTTGATAAAATGAAAGATATCATTAATCCATGAAGAATGAGCCGGAGGAATAGACGATTTCCAATTTATTAAAATGAGGCGTCTTGCCAGAAGAGTGACAAAAGCTACAAAATCAGTCTTATATTTGGGCATGTCAAGTGAAAGAGAGAGAGTACCAAACAAAGCTGTAACGGGCAAAGGTTTAAAGGGATAGTTCACCCAAAAATGAAAATTAAGTCATTAATTACTCACCCTCATGTTGTTCCAACCCCGTAAGAGCTTCGTTCATCTTCGGAACCCAAATGAAGATATTCAGACTGATCTCATGAAATGGCGTATGTATGACACGCCAATTCGTATTTCCATTTTTGGCGTGCTATCAACACGCATAACCGCTTTTCAGCGTGTTTATCAACGCCGTTGACTTAACGTTATAACGCTGCTGCCAGGATTCTGAGCAGAACCAGAAAATTTGAACATATCACACCAGTCCTCAGGTCTCTACACTGGCTCCCAGTTACATTTAGGATTGATTTTAAAGTATTATTACTGGTATATAAATCATTCAATGGGCTAGGACCTCAATATATTGCAGATATGCTCACTGAATATAAACCCAACAGATCACTCAGATCATTAGGATCACATCAGCTAGAAACACCAAGGGTTCGCTCTAAGCATGGAGAGTCTGCTTTTAGCTATTATGCCAGCCGCAGCTGGAACCAGCTTCCAGAGGAGATCAGATGTGCTCCTACAGTAGTCACTTTCAAATCCAGACTCAAAACACTTCTGTTTAGCTGTGCATTTACTGAATGAGCACTGTGCCACTGTTCGTCCGACTGTTTTTACTGTACTTTATTTTATTTTTTATTCTAAACTGTTTTAATTATTTCCTCCTATGTAAAGCACTTTGAATTACCATTGTGTATGAAATCAATGTGCTATATAAATAAACTTGCCTTGCCTTATATTACTGTATACGGTATATGTATATAAATATATGACCTACCCCAACCTAAACCTACCCTTCACTGGGGTTAATACCATTTATGAGTCTTCCCCTACCATCCTAGGAAAAAAATATCGCTCCCCAGATGTAGTACTACATTTTGCTTCGTTTCGCTCGGACATTTAACGGCGTAGACATACACGCAAAAGATGACGGTTCGTTTCGGCGTGGACACACACAAAATGCGTATAGATAACACGCCACTTGACTTAAAAGTGGCGTGTATGTTTACGCAAAGTCATGATGTCATGTTGAGATATTTTTGATTAAATCTGAGAGGTGGATCACTCCCCCATAGGCTTCCTAAGGGAGTGAAACTTGCCGGCCCAGAAAGTCATTGAAGAAAATGTTTAAATATTCCATGTGTCAACTATAAGTTTATCAAGCGCATGCGTCGTGGAAATCTCTTCAACTCTCGTCTTAGGCCCACAAGGAAGAAAAGGAATAGTCGTTATTTTTGTTTGATTTTCCGCACAAAAAGTATTCTCGTCGCTTGATAAACTTATAGTGGAGCCACTGTAGGCACATGGAATATTTAAACATTTTCTTCAATGCAGGGGCGGATCTACCGGGGTGGCATAGGGTGGCAAATGCCACCCTAAAAGAAAGCCTTGCCACCCCTGCTGCCACCCCAGTTGGCAGCAACGAATTAAAAGTTATGGCCAATTTGACAATTTACGAACGCGAATCTCCAATGTCCGACTGCAGTGAATTCGCTCCGTGCATAATATGACGACCGTTGACGTTCGTACTTTATTGTGTGGGCAAATACTTCCGGCGAAAACGTCCGCGGTGATCTGACCGCGAGAGCGGGAGACAGCGAGAGCAAGAGACAACAGCGACCGAGTTCCAGAGAGATAAGTTTTCAACCCGACCAAATTTTTAAATGCATATCATTTTCAGTGTATTTCACCTGTGCGTTTCTATGCTTTATATTACTGCATTTATTTTGTGCAAGTGAGATGAGTAAAGAACATCAGTTTCATATATCATTATCTGTCTGGTGTTTATAAGCAGTAGCCTACAGTATTTTACTACGTGTAAAATATACACAAACTTAGCTATATTAAGTTGTTTGTGTACAGTTAAAAATATAAATGTAAAATATGTGATAATAATATTGATCGAGCAATTGATGTAAGTAAGTAAAAATACATGCGCAGAATTAAGAAAATATTATTTAATATTTATGGAGATAAATTTTAGCCTATCATAAAGAAAACGTGTGAATGTTCACAGGGTATTTTATTTAACAACTCTAATCGTAGTTGTAACTCTATATTTACAGGCATAATTGTCATTGCGTATGTATGCAGCATGAGTCCAATACAATCTTCTGTTCGTGAACAGTTGTATTTCATTCATTAATCTGACTAACGTTATGCATCCGTGCATTTAATTGCCATTGGCTCGTGTGATAGTAATATGGATCTTAGAAGTATTTAAATGATATAATTGATTCTATAAATTGATTCTTGTTGGGTGCTCAACAAAATAATAGCCTATATATAAAAAAGGGAAAAAGGTCGGCACACCTTGGCTCCAAAAGTTAAACGCACCCCTGCCTTTATACTCACACAGCACAGGGCTGGACTGGCCATAATATTATAACTATTATTATATAGTAGTGTAATGTAGACAGACACTATCACAACTAAAAAGAGTTTTGAGTTTTTCTTTGTTCAATTTGCACACTGCATATGGGTTGGAGCTCTTTATTTTGAACTCTCAAAGTGCACCAGATTGATGAATTTAACATTAAAAAGCACAAAATTTTCTTACGGGGGAGCATGCCCCCGAACCCCCCTAGAGGGACAGAGGTGCACTCTGCACTCACCACAGATTTACCAAAATCCTATGGGAAAAAACGGTATTGCTATCCCAATGCAGCTTATAGCTTGTTTTAGGATTCATCACTGTGGAGTATAGTTCAACTTAGTAGTTATTTCATCTATTAACTCTAACTCAGTGGTTTTTATAGGAGTTGGTATACATTCGGTTGTGTTTATGATTATATGTAGTGGGCCAGTCTGGGCCAAAATGCCCGGGCCGATTTTTTGTCCCAGTCCAGCCCTGTACTCACAAATTAAATTAAGTACATATACGTCTGCCATGTTGCCACCCCTCAAAAATTCCTGCCCCCCTCTTGCCACCCCATAAATATTTTTCTAGATCCGCCCCTGCTTCAATGACTTTCTGGGCCGTCAAGTTTCACTCCCTTAGGAAGCCTATGGAGGAGTGATCCAGCTCTCAGATTTAATCACAAATATCTTCATTTGTGTCCCGAAGATGAACGAAGCTCTTATTGTCAAATTCTGCCTGTAGAGCAGGGGTCTCAAACTCGCGGCCCGCGGGCCATTTGCGGCCCGCGGGGTGATTTTTTGTGGCCCCCTACTTGACATTAAAGTTTAATGTTAGTGCGGCCCGTCGTTGCGTGTGCCGCGTAAAAAAAAAAAAAAAAAAAAAAGTATCCCTTATGAGCTACCATAGATAGTCTCGTGACAGCTTACGGAGGGTTTGTTGTCAATAGTTGTCATAGACAACCGCGAAGTACAAACATACAGCGCCTGGAAAAAATGAGCGCGTCGCTTCAATTATGAGCGCGCTTGCCGCGCGCCTACATTTGAAATTACGAACTTGAGCGCGCAAAATATGTGAGCGCGATATGTGAACGGCCCCTTGGCGAGCTGCCACCAATCAGGCCACGAGCTACTGGTAGCTCGCGAGCGACGTGTTGGAGAATGACCCTGCTCTAAAACAATGTGAGAATAATCACTTTGAGCTTGTAATATGCGTCCAACAGGTTGATAAGAAGGTTTGCTTTGATTTGTGCAGTCAGTAATTTGAGACACTATACAAAGAATTCAATAAGACGGGCAGACATGACTGCAAATATTTGTATTTCAAAAGCAATAATTGTTTTTCTAAGTATAATAAAAGGAAATGTGCCTTCCAAAAAAAACATTCAATATCATTAATGTGTTGTATAAAGAAAATAAAAAGGACATAAGCAAATATAAATATCACAAATATGTGTTATAGACAAAGAAAGTTTGTAAAATGAACTTCAACTGTCAGAAGGACAGCTCATGAAGAACCAATCATGTACAGAAAGGAATGTTCAAATTCAGAGGAACAGTTCAGAAGAAACGTTAATAATAAATATTGAGAAGATTGGATCAGTTGTGCTCCTTTTTTGGAATACTTGAATACTATTTTTTTGTGGAATACTTGATGCGGCCCAGCCTGACCCAGACTCTACCTCTAGCGGCCCCCAGTTAATTTGAGTTTGAGACCCCTGCTGTAGAGCAAGACGCTCCCTGTATGTAACTGGGGATGCAGAAACTGCATAGATATTATCTATATGGGCGATTTTCTGAACAATCTCTGATAGTTTACGTTTCCTAATTTTTTCCCTGTATGCAGTGTATGAGATGATTTCCCCTCTTAAGTACGCCTTCATAGTTTCCCATGGAACGATGCTGAAACATCTGAAGACTTGTTTGTTAAAGGTGGCCTAGAATGTTTTTATTTTTTATTTTATAATGTTTCCTGGGTTGCCCTTATAATGTTAGTATGTTTTTTAGATCAAAAATAGTCATAATTTAGAAATAAAAGGCATTTTTCCTAGTCTGATTTGAACACTGTGTTTGAAGGGGCGTGTCTGCTGTGTGTAACCGGCCTCTGCTGTGATTGGCTGACATGCTTGCATATGAAATAGCTACGTATTACATGTGAAACTCTCTCCCGAATACTTTTACTACTGCTATTATACGTTTTTACTATTACAGCTATCGAGATTAACGAATCGTGAGATGTTTTTAAAGTATTTAGATCTATTCCCATCACATAAAATGTTGCCGTGATGAGCATTGAGCAGATGACAGTCTGTTGATCGCGAGAATGAAGATCTTATCATTGCAAAGCAGTTTCTGCACTCTCTCTGCTTTCACCAATGCAAACACGATGATGTAAATACAGTAAGAGCTTCGTTGTGCAGTAACGTGCGTCATTGATTTCATAACGAGTTTGGCAAGTGTCCAGATAAACTTGCGCTGTGTGGAAAGATTGTTCTTTGATCGCTTTCTGTATATAATTTATTCACAATTTAAATAAGTTTTTTTTCATCCTACTAAAAGAAACGATGTTAAGTTGATATTTTAGTCACTGGCTTGACTTACTGATGCATAAACAGTATTGAACGATTTTGAGAGAAAGATTACCTGTCTGAACTTGAACAATTACACAGAAAGTGTTGCTTGGTAGCTCGATCCGAGGCCAGCTCTGTATTGGCCCAAGTTGAGGAAACAGTCGGTGAAATGTTTGGAAATTTCCAGAGAAAATAAAATTAACCCATTGTTTCTTCAAAAGGCTCGGATGAAGGAACTAAAAGATACTTTTGTGTTCATGTGTACATCCAAACACTGAGGAGATTTCTCTAAATTCTTGGAGTCGTACATATTAATGATCCCGACTGTTGCGTCACAGTCGGTGTTATATGGAGATTCGCCTATTTTTTAGGGGTGTTTTTCAAAAACGAGATTTAAGAAGGAGAAAACAATGGTGTTTGAGACTCACTGTATGTCATGTCCATGTACTGAACTCTTATTTAACTATGCCAAAATAAATTCAATTTCACATTCTAGGGCACCTTTAATATAAACCAATCTATCTGATTAGGCACAAATTCCACAAAATGCTCATCTGACAACATATGGGTATTTAAACGCCACGGTGGCCGTGTGCCCTCAAGTTCCTAAACACAAATCTTCATACTAACCGGGGCATGGCCTGAAATAACGATAGCGTTGTATGAGCACAACTCAACTGAAGAAATTAACCGGTTATCTATAAAAAAAAAAAGTCAATCCGAGTGAAAGTATGATGATCCTGAGAAAAGAAAGAGTATTCTTTCCCAGACGGGTTAAAAAAAACGCCAAGGATCCGAGACCTTAAACTCCTCCATAAAAGACTGAATCACTTTTGCAGACTTTGATGGTGTGTTATGTCTAACAGAGGAGCGGTCAAGTTTGGGATTAATCCAGCAATTAAAATCACCTCCCAAAATAAGATGGTGTGAAGAGGTATCAGGCAGTACAGAAAATAAATGTCTAAAAAAAATGATCGTTGTCCCAGTTAGGTGCATAGACATTGGCAAGGATAACTGGAAAATTATTAATTTTACCTGTGACAATGACAAATCTCCCATTGGGATCTGCTATGACATCCGAGCACACGAAAGTAACTGACTTGTGTATAAGAACAGCAGCGCCCCTGGCTTTCCCTGAAATTTGGAGTGAAATACCTGCCCAACCCATCTTCTTCTTAATAATAGGTGGTCCTGAATTTTAAGGTGTGTTTCTTGAAGATAGACAACGTGGCCTCCTAAATGTTGGAGGTGATGTAATATCTTGCTACGCTTAACAGGATTGTTCACTCCATTACAGTTCCAACTAACAAATGTAAACGCCTCCCACTCAGATGTTGCGTCATTTTAGGTTGTGTCATACACGATGTGGATCAAACTTTGAATGCGAAATAGTTCTTTACTGTGAAACTGACAAGAATTGAGCAATTACCCAATTATTTGCCCCTGGGGCAAACACCGTACCTCCGATCGCTTAGAAAAGTCATAGCACACCTCTCCTCAATAGGCCGCTCGATTTGACGCCTCACTCAGGGGTCTGTGATGTCGGCATGTATTTATTTACAGATAATTACTATGGAGTTTTTATATGGAGTTTTTATAGAGTTTTTAGAGTTTTTTTCACCAAGAAAAAAGTAAGAGAAAAGAGAGAAAAAAACAAAAAACAAAAAAAAACACGAGAACAGCACCAAGACCCATTTTCTCACCCAAAATTAACACAAAGAAATATAAACCGAGGATTAAAGGGTAGTTCACCCAAAAATGATAATTCTGTCAGTAATTACTCGCCCTCATGTTGTTCCAACCCCGTCAGACCTTCGTTCATCTTCGGAACACAAATTAAGATATTTGTGATTAAATCTGAGAGCTAGATCACTCCTCCATAGGCTTCTATGGGATTGAAACTGGCCGGCCCAAAAGTTATTAAAGACATTGTTAATATAGTCCGAGTGACTACAGTGGCTCAATCTTAAGTTTATCAAGCGACGAGAATACTTTTTGTGCGCAAAAACAAACAAAAATAACGACTTTATTTCAGTTAACGTAGTGTGATTCCGTAGAGCTACGTCACACGTAGGCTCACTATTGGCCGACGCTGGTCATGTGCGTGATGCGTGTGACATACAACAACAGAAGCGCTGCGCTATTACACTAGTGAACTGACTCGAGGCCCACAGAGAAGGAAATGAATAGTTGAAATAAAGTCGTTATTTTTGTTTGTTTTTTGCGCACAAAAAGTATTCTCGTCGCTTGATAAACTTAAGATTGAGCCACTGTAGTCACTCGGACTATTTTAACGATGTCTTTAATAACTTTTCTGGGCCGGCAAGTTCAATCCCTGAAGAAGCCTATGGAGGAGTGTTCCAGCTCTCAGATTTCATCAAAAATATCTTAATTTGTGTTCCGAAGATGAACGAAGGTCTGACGGGGTTGGAACAACATGAGGGAGAGTAATTACTGACAGAATTATCATTTTTGGGTGAACTATCCCTTTAACCTTCATATGAGCTCATCGCAGTGTCTGTCATCCACACAGAGGAGATGAAAGTGGGCATCAAGACCATTAAGATGTATTGCCAGCGGATGCAGGAGGAAAACATCGCGCGGGCCATTATCGTGGTCCAGACGGGCATGACCCCATCTGCTAAACAGGTACGCCCCAACACAGCTGTGTGGATCCGGGCTCTCGTTTACAAAACTGTAGGATCCGCACTAAAAGTGTACGTGCGCCCGAAAGCCAAAAATATTCAGACTTCTAAAGCCCCGTTCACACTACAAGCGACACGATACCATTCATTTCAACGGGGAGCGCGCGATATCCGGCGACGCGCGCGACAGCCAACCGGTCGGGCGTGTCTGGCGATCGACAAAGTTGAGATCTGTTTAACTTTATGCAAATGCAGAGCGAATTTCGGGAGCGACAACCAATAGGAGTGAAGTCAGTGGAGCGCGTCACTCTTCATTGCGGAGTCTGACCGAGGCAAGTTGAACGAGAAGCTCAT